TGATTAGGGTGAATATTTGCAAATGATGGATAAACCTAAGTGTTTTTCCATATTTGATGATCACTCCAACTTAGATGATCCTCTGAAATTCCCATTCTTTATTCAAACCATCTGGATCTATAAAACTGAATTGTACTCTTACCTTGCCTGCAGGACTGTAAGACTCTTCTGATCATTAGAGTGAATTTAACATCAAATCCCACTCTGACTGTGCAAATTTAATGTGTTTCAGAAAAAAAAAAAAAAAAAAGAAATTCTGTAGTGATCAGTTGTACAATACAATGTCTTTATTTCCAGTTTTGTTGATTAATAATTGGCCTATAGGTAATTTCTACTATTAAGGTCTGTCCTCAGAATAAACAAAAAACCAAAATATCTATTTTAGGTTATACCTGAGATAAACTTTATGTGTTGGCAATTTTGAAAATCAAGCACTTAAAAATATCCAAACTCTAATCTGAGTTCATTAGAAACTGTCGTTTTCTGTAGTAGTTTTCTGCTCATGATATACTGATTTTTTGGCTACTGTATGAAGAATTAAAGCATATTCTAGATTACTAGAAAGTACTAGAAAGTGGAAGGACCGTACTTCTGAATTAAAAATACCAAAACATAAATGTTGTGAAATTCAGAAGTGATGACAACCTATGACAGCTTAGGAGACACGCCTGATAAAAATTTGCAGCTATAACTGTAGTTGTCAGAAATTTCTTTGTGATAAATACCCATGAGCTACAAGCACCAGAGACATATTTTGGTGTTTCTTTAAGGTCTCCATAGCTTTAACCCGAGAAACCTGGCGCGGCTGGTAGACTCAGTCTGGTCTGCAGTTTCTCTGCTCTTGTGCTGGAGAGCAGCCAGTGCATTAGCGCTGGACCCGTTCCTGCCTGTGCCTGGAATTACTCCCCAGGAGACTGCACAGCCCCCACCAGGCAACGTTGCGGAGAGGCAGAGTACTTGAGTAAACTCAGGCCATCTGTTGGTTGCATAAATTAGTTTTCCTCATTTGCCCATCTAGTCATAAGATATCCAGTTTGTTGTTTTTTTTCCCCACCCCCCAAAAAATCTTTGCGTTTTGTACAAGAATTAAGTCAGTGAGCCTCTTTTTCCACCTCTTTACCCCATGGTAGGTCTCAGAGCACCTATCTCCCCTACTTCTGCCACCAGTAGAAGATTGATCCCACAGGCTCCTAAAGAAGAGCCATCAGAAGTAACCTGGAACTTCACACATGTCTTTATTTTCCTGAAGTGTCTCAACTAGCTAGGAACAGTGTAAGAAATAATCACTAATTATTTAAGAAGTGAATACATAATTTATTTGTTACCTGCACCCCTTTAATTTAGCCATAGCACTGCAGCAGTTCAGCACAACAACACATGGGGAAACAATATGCTCTTCAAGATTTGGCACTCTGTGACAAACTTTTCCTTCTCTAAGCCTCCCACTTAACAGTCAAACACAATTAGCAAGAGCTCATCTCAAATAGCCATAAAGGTTCTTATCGGCAAAGGTGTGCTCATTCGTCTTTCAGAATGCAATTTGGCAGGCTCCATGGCTTGTTAAGAAGAGCTCGTTTGAATACATTTTACTAAATTGCTTTGAGTGAATGCAAGTTTCTGTTGACTTTTACAACTAAAATCGGTTTTAGTACTTTAATCACCAATGTTTTGCTAAAAGCTCTCCAAATTGTCAGTAAAACCCTACCACTTCTCACAGAATAAAGCTTCATTGC